TTTTTTTTTAGAGAAAAAATTCTGTGTATCATATTTTCTGACTTTTATATCGGCCAAGCTTCCCGTTTAATTGATGTGCAGTGCTTTGTATTGGCATATGAAAACGATGAATTTTTAGTGGAAATGTGGCTGGCGTATTGAATAGAGTGGCCGGTCTGGATTCAGCTAATCTAGAAAGAGCCGTACGACAAATTGTGCGAAAAAGTTTCGAAAGCTGGCGAAGCGGTTTCCCTCCAGTCGTAACTTACATATTGGAGCGCATTCGAAATGAAATTCTGCTTGTGGCCGATACCATCATGTGGTCTGCGCGTCTAACTGGTCCGTCTTAGTGTCATATTCTGTGTGTCGATATTTTGATAAGTTATACCATTGTAAATGCATACTTTCGCAGTCGCCGCAGCTGACGGCCCGTTCTCTAGTTGCTGCAACTGAAGGGGCTGTACTTACTAATAGCCTGTTTGTTGCTCATGGTGTGCATTTGTTTTTTTTTTCCCCACCGTCGTTCTTTTGAGGAATTGCTTGGGGTACCACATTGATTCGTTGCTTCTGAAGACATTTCTTAGCGATTTTACTACACTCGGTAACGTCTGTCATTTCGAGGATGGAACGTACCACGAGTTAATAATAATCGTAACAGGCAGCAAGTTTCATATGAAAGGATACCTGGAGTTGCAGTAGGAAAAGCTAACGTTATTTCCCCTGAACGACAGTCTGCACAAGTTATTAGCTGGTCGTCACAGACTACTTTTTATGCGTTTTTGCCGAGCAGCGCTAGAGCGCTGCAACAGGCAGCGAAAACGTATATTGCAACGACCCTGTCAGTGTGTGTATGTACATGTGTGTGTATGTTTGTGTGTGTGTGTGTGTGCGTACTCGTCTGTCCGGGTATTTCAACTCGCCAACCACGCAAGTTTTGAAGCTGAGATTTTGCCAGTATGTTCCCCAGCCAAGTGCCACCCCAGGACCGCGGTACCAACTCTCACGCACGTCTGAACCCCGCGTATGAGCACGTGAAAGTTTTGGCGGGAAAATTGCTAACTCGGGGACGAGAAAAGCTAGAAAGCTGAAGCCTTAGGATAACGTTCTCTACCCGTGTGTGACAAAAAGGTTTCAAATTCATCTGCCCGGGACTGCCCGATACTCACGTACGGGCACGTGAAAGTTATGACGCTAAAATTCATAACTCGGGAATGAGAAAAGCTAGAAAGTTGAAACTTTGGGGAAATGTTTCCTACTTACACATGACCAAAAGTATTCATACTCAGCTCCTTAGGACCGCCCGAGGCTTACGTACGGGCACGTTGAAGTTTTGGCGCGAGAATCACTAACCCGAAAACGAAAAAAGCTAGGAAGCTGAAACTTTAGGGAAATTTTCCCTACTCATGTGCATCCAAAATCAGGTGTTTAGAAGCGTCCGGGCCCACGTACGGGCAGGCGGAAATTTTGGCGCGAAAATTATTAGCCCGAGAGCGAAAAAAGCTAGAAAGCTGAGACTTTAGGGGAATGTTTCCTACTCGTGTATGTCCAAAAGATTTCAAATTCAGCTTCTTAAAACCGTCCGGTACTTACTTACGGACGCCTGAAAATTTTGGTGGGAAAAACTGCTAGCTCGGGAACGAGAAAATCTGGAAGGCTTTAATTTTAAGGCAAATGTTCCCTACTCATGGCGACTAAAAGATATAAAATTTAACTCTTCTGCTGCGGCCTTCTTTGCGGGCCAACAACTTTCCATTTGTCGGGTCACTGAAGTCGACATCTACAATTGACGTACCACACAGTTGCACAGTTAACTTCCCGAACTTCGATAGCCAGTATGTCACAGGGCTAGCTACTGCAATTCCTTGCGATTTTGCTACGGTACGAAAAGTGCAAAAACGCATAATCGCACCAGCTCGCCTGGTGCGTTCCAGCCTGGGTTCACTTAAGCGTTTTGGTGATGTATATACATGTATATATATATACATATATATATACATATATGTACATATATACATATATGTAAATATATGTATATATACTGAAACGCACATCATTTAATTTTCCACCACTTCCCGAGTTAAGCCTTGAATTTTTGCAGAATTATTTGGTTTGGTGGGCAAATATTTCTCCACTGTGTGCAAGATAATTTTTTTTTTTTTTTTAATTGGATAAAATCTGTTTGAAGTGTATAAAACGTGTGTAATATTGCAGGATGCATCCGAGGACAAGAAATACATTATTGCTATTCATCCGTTTGGCGACTAGTTTTACATTTTATGCTGACGGTGGTTAGGCGGTACATCTCAAACAGTGTGATTTCAATGTCAAATAACATGACGGGAACGATTGATAGGCTGTCTGCTGCCTATCGTTTAACGAATCTCATGAATTTTCTTTATTTTTGCTGCCGCGGTGGTTACGGGAATGTTGCTGAGATGATCACACGCCCAAAAATGAAATCACCCAAACGGACATTAGGTATATTCATTGTCTGAGTTTAACCATCACTTCGTTGGTGATAAAGTGCACATCTGCAGGTAAGTCTAGAAGCATTTTTCTAAAAATAGCAAGCTGAGAAGTGGCTCTTGGTCGCTTTAAACCTCTTTTCAGTTGTGAGAGACTTCCACAGCGTGCGACTGAAATTATGTTCTAGCTTTGTCACGTATGCGCAGTGTAACAGCTGCACAAAACGCATATTGTCACTACCCTGTCTGTTTGTGTGTTTGTATATCCAAGTGCGTTTTGTTCCGCGTTTTCAATTCAGGAATCACTAAAGCTAGGAAACTTTAATTGTAGGCTGATGTTCCTATCTGTTTGTGACCGCGTAAACTTAAAGTCATCTTTCACGAACGCCTAGAGCTGACATATGGCCATACGAAAGTTTTAGCGCCGAAATTATTAACTCGGGAACTACGAAGGCAAGAAAGTTGAAATTTTAAACCCATATGCGTTCCCAAAAATTTTAAATTTAGCCTCCAAGCTCTCGTACGTTCCCAAAAATATAAATTAAGCCCTCCCCTCTCACCACTTGGCCTAAGTCATTAGACTAATGTACGAAGACATGGAAGTTTTGGCACAAAATTTTCTGCTTCGGAAATTGGTGAGAAGAAAAGTTGGAAATTTGCTATGATGCTTACTCGTGATGTACAATCGTGGAACTTTAAATTTGGTTTTCACGTACATATGAAATTTTACTTGGGGGATTTTTAATTCGAGAACTAGACAGAACAGGAAGCTGATATTGTTGGAAGGATATTTTCTGCTCATGATCTAACCTAGAAATTCAAATCTAACTTTCATGATTGCCTACATTTCACGATTGGGCACGTTCAATTTCGTATTTTTGCGCATACCGAATCGTGAAGCAGTGAATGCCCCTAACAGCAACTGTTTGCTGAGCAGAACTGCGCAAACGCACAAGCGCACTGGCTACCTTGGTGCTTGCTGCTATTTATTAATCGTTTTCTCCCATTCTCATTCTATACCCTCATTCATTTACAGGATACCTTTCGCTCCTTTATCTGTGCCCAAGACTAATTTCTTCACTCGTTTTGCCCTTTTTAATTAGGATCAGATTCTGCAGTGATATTTCAGATATGTTGGCTAATCTCATCAGTGTTCAGTCCGCTAGTTTGTCATGTACTGTCCGTTCCCCTCCCTTCGCTGTCTGGTTCAGTATGTCACTGCTGTGTATCTACACTTTCATATAATCCATTTTCTTTATTTTTCCGCAAAATCAAAATCTGCAGAGCCTATCGGGACTAACACTTACCAATGAAATTCATGTATTCAATTTAACGCAGCTGCGCAAGAGTAATACCTGTAACTGTTATCTTCATTTAGTAGGAAACACTGCGTGGTGGAGCAGTGCGGGGCAGATCTGCTGCACTTAACACATAGCAGTACATTATATCACATTACAAAGAAACCCAAACAAAGATGAAATATTAGAGTGCTTATGTTATAAAAAACCCAAAATGTTAACCTCGTCAGCTCTGAAAGCATCTTTTTAAATTTAACCTTATTCTCTTATCCATTAGTTTTGCACGCTGGCTTTCTCATTGGGTATTGCAGTATTTTGGTGAAGTTGCCCACGCCCGGGTCTATGGTTACTTCATGACGTATGGACTCCACATCCACAACCCAGGCGGTCTATGTCATTTGACATTTTTTGAAAATAAACCGTAATAATTTTTCACTGCTAGATTTTGCTCTGTCCAAATAAAGCTTATTGCTCTTCACTCAGATGAACTAAATTCTCCGTTGTAGAAAACAGAAAGTGCAGCCGCAGATCGTTTGCTAAGTGAATGGAAAAAAAAGTATTTTTTTTAATACAGAGCAAGTAAGGATGTCCTGGAAACTTAAAGACGCGCAGTACTGTTCTACAACTAGCGATACAACAAAATGTTTGGGGAAACTATTTAGGATTTGATAGAGAAATCTAATTGTCATGGATTTTTTATGCCAAAAATCCATTAGATGAAATGCTTGACAAAGATCTCTAAAAGAATTAGATAGGAAGCATTCTCGGGACAAAATGGCTCACACCACTTTAGCACTTTAGATTGTCACAACGTACTTCTGAGTGTTGATGTGGAATTTCAGGATCATTTTTTGCAAAGATACTGAATTTCAGGTGTATTGGATTTTTCGTCATTCAACCGAAAACTTATCTGGTGTGCATTTCGCGATCTGCTCATTTTTTCAATATCGCTAAAAATAATTTTCTGGAGAACAACAAGGTATAAAAAGGAAGAGGGGGAATACGCTGACCCATTGTCTGTAATGTGCACAGGATGTGGAAAGTCATCTGTGATACCAGTGCAAAACGTACTATGCAAGCACATCAGCTGCTATACATGTTTTCACACCGGCGACTTCGCTTGTGTAGCGTGTGGAGGCGTTGCAAGGAGTGACTCTTTTCGTTTTCTATAAATCCACCATCATCGAAATGTTCCCGTTGTTGAGGCTAAGCCCTGAAATATTGCACATCATTCGATTTCCTAATCAGCTCCATGTTTTAAACATTCGTGTGTTTTTTGAGAGCTCCTTTGTGTAAATTTTTTCATTGACCCAGCTGGGAAGGCTTTATTATTGTGCTAGTGCCATGAATGTTTGGGTGGACAAACGGGCTATGTAGAGCTTAACGGATGCACAGTAGAGAAATTATCGTTTTAGTGGGCAGCTCGAATGCAGCCTAGTTGCCGCGCACCGGCTACTCATGCGGAGATGTGTTTCTTCCATTATTTTCCGCAGAATTGTTGTTGCTAAATGAGCACTTACAAGGAAGGTACTTGCCTTTAAATAAAGAGATGCGCATCGGACTTTTGTTTTATTTTCACGGATGTCTATAAAAGCTGAACAAAAGATGAGCACCCTAGCTGCTTTGGTTGCGGAGTTCCGTTAAATTTCCCGTGTTTTTACGTGAACAAAAACGTTGGTGCTATTTTTAAATGTGCTCGCCCAAGTACGGTTTTTGGCCATGCTCAGAAAGTTCAGCGCTTCAGCTGTTCAGGTTGCGGAGTTACGCTAAATTTCACTTGGTCATACGTGAGGAGGGAAAGTAATGTTTTATTTTCGTGCATCTGTCCAATCACAGCGGAGGGCCACGCTGGAATTTCATCACTCTAGCTGTTCTGGTGGGGGGTCACGTCATCTTTCAACGTGTTCAAGCGTATTTCACATATTCAAGTGTTTTATCAGGTTATTTGCTATTTGACACAATTAGAGTCCGAAGCTGTGATTTTTGGGCTCTTTGCTTCTAACGATATCGGGGGCTTACATATGTGATATGCCGCAACATTTCTTGTCACCCGACGTATTGTTACTTCCTTTTTCTTTTGTACGAATTTAATGCACTGGAACTCCAGTACATGGACTGTACACAACACTTTCATAATTTGTCTGGAAGTTAGAGTTACTGTGTCCTCTTGTGTTTCCGGCAACACTTCATGAACAATTTTGATCCATTTCACATGGCTGCGAACTGCTTAACCGCTTATACCGATTACGTTCGCATACTCAAAAAGGTTGTGTGGGAAGGGGAAAAATGGAGAAGAGAGGGACTGAAGAGCTGTTAGATTTCTTATCCGTCGACGTTCCAACATGTGACTAGTACAGAAGCTTCTAAAATTATTGTGGATCGAGAGGTGGGAATCCCCTATCTGAGTTGTTGGAAGTTTATAGACCAAAAAATACAAATCGATGGGAATTGAGCTAGGCTTAGCACACACTCTCTAAACGGCATGTAAATGTTCACAGTCTGGTTTGGCTGAATTTTTGGGAAAGGAATGTGATGTAATGTGCTTACGTTCAGTTCTTGCTATTCTAAGAAGAAAACTGAGATGTAGTGGAGTAATTCAACAAGCTGCCGGCATGTGAAAGCATTCCTGTAACGTCACTGACGTAGAATATCCACACTGTTTTCGGTGCGGTCTGTATTATATATGAAAAAGAAAATGCTGGAAAGGCATGTTTTTATCCAAAAACAACCGCACTCTTCAAAAGGGCTCCGCAAGTCCTAAAAAGACTTTTGCTTATCCTGTTTTTACCTCTGGGAAGTTTTATGTTTTACAAACAAAACGATTCAAATTTTCATCCTTTTTACCCATCCCGCAGATTACTCGAAATAGCAACATAAATTTGTAAACACAAAATTAAGTGTATTTGAAAATGAGGTTTTTGAGATCATTTTACTTAAACTTTAAATGAACATATCCTTCCCGCAAAGTTAGAGTGCGTACAGTATGGAATTCCCCAAAATGCCACATTTTGAGGATTCTGAAATTCGAATGTCTAGAATTTTTCAGTGATTATGCATGATTTCTATTTGCCAATCATATAAAATAATTTGGCCAGCGCACGGGCTGCCCGTGCGGAAATGCGTTTTTTGCTTAGTTCCCAGCAGTTTTTGTCGTTACTGGCACCGGTTTTTTCGGGAAATGCTTCTAGTTAAACAAGTTAAGACTGGCCACCAGAACTGTCAGGAAATACCCCCTTGAAATCTCAGCTTCCTAATTTTCCAGCTCCCCGCGTTAGCAACTAACCCGAAAAAAAACTTCGGCCGGCCTATACGTGGATACCACGCACACCCGGTGTCTGGGTTTGAGCTCATTAATATCTACTTGGATGGAGAACATCCCCTTAAAATCCCAATCCTCTAGTTTCTCAGGTTCCCGAGTTAGCAACTTACCAGGAAAAAATTTGGCGGGCCCGTACGTAGGTGCCACGCATGCTTGGAAGCTGGATTGAAGCTCATTAAGACTTACGCTGACGTGGAACATCTAAAAATTTCAGCTTTCGAGCTTTTCTGGTTACCGAAAAACTTTCACGGGCCCGTACGTAGGTATCACGGGAGTAGGACCGCCCATTTTGGATATGGGGGCCCGTACACACATGTAGATTAAGTCCCCAAAGTTTCAGTCCTGTAGCTTCTTTGGATCTGGAGATGAAAAATCGGTACGCAGAGCGCACACACAGAAACCTCTCGTTAATATGCGTTTTCTGCATCGCATAGCTGCAAAAACGCATAAAAATGTAAGAGAGCCACCTTCAGTTTAAGCCGCGAATCCAGCTCCTTCCCAAGAAAGCTTTCACGGAGTGCTTGCAAATTGTAGAAAGTAATTTGTGAGCTGACAGCTGCCAGAAGTTGAGAATAGGCTATTGCATTTTGCAGTAAAAAAAAATTTTTTTTCAGGAGGGGAGAATAAGACTCCGGATGGGCTAGTTATGCGTTTTTGCGTATATGCGTATGCAATAATTGGTCAGTGCACCGACTGCCGGTGCGAAGATACGTTTGGCCCTGTTCCCCGCAGTTTTTATTGCTGACAGCACTTTTTTCAAGCAGATGCTTCTAGCTAAAAGAATTGAGACTGGCCACCACGACTGTCAGGAAACATCCGCTTAAAATTCCAGCTATCTAGCTTTTCTGGTTCCCGAATTAGCAACGTACCTGCCAAAATTTTCCTCGGGCCCGTAATGTGTGAATCAAGCACACCTGAGGCTGAATTTGAAGTCAGTAAGTTCTAAGTGGACGAGGAACATCCTGAAATTTTAGCTTTCTAACTTTTCTAGTTCCCACTTTGCTCGCCAAAAACATTCACAGGCCCGTACGTAGGAACCAGATGAGCAAGAGATATGGGCTCATGTGTGTAGATTAGGTTCTCATAGTTTCAGCCTTTTAGCTCTTGTAGGTTTCGAGATGAAAAATTGGTACAGACGCATACAGAGATACAAACACACACACACACACA